CCTGCTAGTGTAGCGGAAGCTAAAACCCTGGGTTCCTTTAAATCAGAGCTAGATAAGATTTTAACAACTCTGAGCTATTAGTTAAGTTCTCCCCAAACAAGCTTGATGGGCCGAATGGCCCCCTCTTGTTTGTAAATTTCTTATGTTCTTATGTTCTTATGGATGATTAACCAAATAAAGCAGCACAACATTACAGTAACTAACAATAAATAAACCACTAACTTATGTGTACTATTAGAGCATTTATGTAATTTATTTAAACTTTATTTTACCAGGTAAATTAACTGAAAATCAGTTCTCACTGCTTTACGTGATATTTGGGAGAAATGGCAGATTACGCATCGGAACTGCCTGGGATACAAACGTCATGCGTGTAACTAAACTCTTCAGCCAATAGGGCAAAGGTGTGTCGTCACGGAACGGAACATTCTGTGAACATAAGAACATAAGAAATTTACAAACGAGAGGGGGCCATTCAAGTAAGAATTGCATTGTAGTATGACTCATTTCCTGGCGCATACAATTTATATTAGGTCAGCGTTCACGGTTCGACTTCTGATATTCAGATCGCGTTCTAGGTCAAACTGGTTTGTTCGACTTTCAAGAAATTCGAGTTCTATTGAGTTTGAGAACCAAGGTACCACTGTAAATTTATTTGCTGAAATATTTGTATGGTAATACACAAATATATACATTAATCTCTAAGCCCATGTCTTAATAATAATGCATTTCTCCCATTCAAAATATATTCTTCTGTTGTTTTTTAATGAATAAAAACTATGCCTTGTGCTCATTTGGTTGCTATTTACATATCAGGTATTTAATGAATTTGCCTTTTATTTTAATGCGTAAGCTACACAGCCTTACATTACTGTTCTGCTTTACATTACATTGCAATGCAAACACAACAACCAATCAATCAATCATCAATCTATCCTCTTCGTCTTCAACATAAGGCTTCAATGAGCTCTCTCCATTGCATGCGGTCCTTAGCCGATAGTTCCCTTTGCTGTCAGTTTATATTAGATGCCATGTCCTGTTGCCTTTTAATGTTTAGAAATATGGGAGGCCCCCCCCCTGGTGGGGGCTAGATTGTGAGGCCCAAAAAATATGTGACAAGTCACTTCTCATATTTTATTGCTACGAACCTTGATAAAAGATCAAATACAGTAAACAGTAATAGTAACTGATGGTTATTCTCTTTACAAAGTTAAGCCACTTTCCTGGTCACCATTGTCTTTGCTGTTGCTAAGCACCATTGCTTCAGTTTTGGTGCTGTTTGTCTCTAAATTTGAAAAGATGCAGATCTTCATCCTGCAATGTGCTTGCAAAGTTTGGAAAAGATGAGACAAATAATTTTTGCGTTAACATGCTGACAAGATCCAGTGTAGGAACTACCATTCTTTTTGCTATCACTATGCAGCGCTGCTTCAGTTGCAGTGTGTCTCAAAATTTGATCAAGCTCAGATCTTCACCCTTACAACATGTCTGTAAATGATCTAATACTTTTTGAGTCATTGTGCTAATGGGATCAAATGATGGAAACTACCCCTCTTTTTTGCTATCACTATGCAGCACTGTTTCAGTTTTGGGGCGATCCATCTCAAAATTTGATCATTTCCAGTTTGTCATCCCTACAGTATGCCTGAAAGGTTTGAAAATGATCTGTACAATACTTTTAGAGTGACTGTCTTTACAAGACCAAGTGTTTTCTACAGCTGCAGTTTCCTTACTTTACTGCAACACAGCACTATTGCTTCATTTTTGGGGCAGTTTATCTGAAAATGAAATCAGGTGTAAATCTCCTTCCATATAATGATTATAATGATATAATAAGATTCATCAAATACGTTTTGATTTATCACATTCATAAGGTCAAATTGTTCAATTGTTCTCTGCTTTCATTCTTCCCTTTACTGCCACTGATCATCATTACTTCTATTTTGGGGTGATCTGTCACGCAATTTAATCATCTCCAGTTTGGCACTCATACAATGTTTGAAAAAGATCTGTCAAAAACTTTTTGAGTTATCATCTTAACAGAAACAAATGTCAAAAATGCCCCCTTTTTTGCTATCACTATGTAGCGCTGCTTCAACTGTGGGGCAGTCTGACTGAAATCCTAGTTTGTCACCTATACAATGCCTCTACAAAGATCCAACAAATTGTGCTAACAAGAAAGTGGAAAACGTATTTCTCATCTGCAAAATACAGTAAGTGTTGTCGGTTTGTCTGTCCCAACTACATTAAAATATTTTACTTCTTTTACAGGGATGTACAGTACTGGGAACTTACTTTCAAAAGTAGATCTTTCTTATACAAGCAGGTAACGTTTGGTTGTTTCTATGCGTTTAGACTTTTGAGGAGTTCAGTGATATTTTATGGATAGTATAATCAATGCATAACATACATTACTGTGACTTCACTAGCCATGTACAATAATTAGTGTTTACATCTTATTCATTTTAGTTTTTGCTTATTCCAATAAAGGTTCGTAGAATGACTGGAGCATTAGTGGCTGTTGGACAAGGAAAACTCTCTGTCTCAGACCTCCAGGCATTGCTAGAGGCCAAGGACTCTCGGGCTTATCCTCAAAATATAGCTGCCCCTCCTGATGGCCTTTTTCTAACCAATGTGGAATACAGGCAGTCAGGTAATTAACTGTTACCTCCACCTAATATAGCAATGATACTTTTATAAGATTTTTTTCAAGTGTACAGTCGTCCCTCGGTATTCATGGGGCATCAGTTCTAGGACCATCTTTAGTTTTCTTATAATACCTAATACAATCTAAGTGCTACAGTATGTACGTAGTACTGTATTTTATAGGGAATAATTACAAGAAAAAAAGTCTGTAAATGTTCAGTACAGACGTAACCACCTTAGTACATATAGAAAAGATAATTACACAGAAGGTACAGCTGTGTATGCCTACACATCAGTTAATTTTCATGGTTTCGGCATAGTGTTCGACACATAGCAAATTCAAGTTTTGCTGTTGGAAATTTTTGATCCGTGGATATGGAGGGCCAACTGTAATTGCAATAGTCACAATTACAAATTTGTATTCTCTCTGAATAAATGCAACTCCTGTGCATGCATCAAATATGCTTTTCAGTTATCATACTTTTTTTAGCCCTTCTGGAACAGTTGTAGTGCAACTCACTGCAGTGCATCATGAAACCTACAGCTTCATCATTAGTCTTTAAATGTGTTGACTGACATTTCCTTTTTTTTCACAGATTTAATTTAATTTCTGAAAGATCCTTCGGAGTGATGAGAGGAGTGCATAAGTGAATTAAAATGTGCTTTGATATACTTTTCCCCTATTGTTATCCTTACTTTAGTACATTTATATATCAGTAGGTGAGCATGTGCAATTTTATTTGACAGAAAATGCTACAAGAATTTCTAAATTCAGTAAAAATTTAGAAATGTGCAAAATGTGCTCACCACTCCGAACTCAGCTGGCTATATTTAAATCAGAAAAAATATGGCAATTTTACGAAGACCTGGGAAGGCGTGGTGACGATTTACTACAAAATTGTAATTCTTAGTAAACTAGTTTTACATGGTCTGTAAAGAATGCTGAAATGATTGGAAATCATTGTTTGAATAATGACTAGCTCATTTTGCTGATTAATGGAGTTTTCAGCTTTTACGGTACTTGGGTTTTTTTAGTTTGTTTTTTGAAAATTAGACTGTAAACCACATGAAATACTTTCTGCAGTGTTCTTGCTATGAAAAGTATTCCTTGCTAAGTTTTGCACAGTTTAGTAGTACTGGATGATACTGGAAAAAAGGAGCTGAAAATGTATGCAAAATAAATTACAGCCAAATAGAACCTAATACTGTCAAATAATTTGTGGTGTTTCCATGAGTTATGCTCATGCATTTTCATATTATGTATTTATATTATCTCGTCTCATTGCAGTCTAACATATCCTATATAGTAGACAAATGTCTTTTTCTGACCAGTTCTTGTTCAATTTGTCTCTCATTTTTATTAAATTTCTCTCACCATGTCACACTTTCGGAATAAGTCTGACAGCAAGAATGAAAATGATTGATTGACTTGGAAAGCACTTGTAGAGGTAATAGAATATAAGTGGTAAACTGTACACGTTTTTGTCTTGTATTGAATTTTATTAAATTCCAACATTAAAAAAGAGAATATAAAGCTGCTGTGCCTGACTGGTAAATCACGATATTGCCGCATGTCCATAAAAAATACAGGGCATAATATGAAAATACAACAAAAGGAAAAGAAACAGAATGTATGCATACGCATACAACATACTCTTATGCCAGAGGTCGGCAACGTTTTTAACGCAAAGAGCCATTTTATCCTAAATGTCTGACACAAGATTTAGAAAGAGCCGTAATGGATAGAGAAGAGGGTTTGAGATACAAATTTTTAATGCGATACAGGTATATATGCATTTAACACAAAAACAAAACTTCAAGTACTTACAAAAAATAAAGAAAAACAATTTTGAGGTGGGGAGGGGGAGCTCTCAGTTTTATATCACTCGCATATGTAACAGCGCAAAGGTGACTAATATAATTTTTTTCTGTAGCGTTAGTCTTCACTCTCACCCCTTCTTTCTTGAGTAAAGTTCTTTTGGCTCTGCAGTCATTTGGCCTTCACTCTCCACTTCACTACTTGTAACTGTGCTGACCAAGCAGTGCAAAATGTGCTCACCACTCCGAACTCAGCTGGCTATATTTAAATCGAAGAAAATATGACAATTTTACGAAGACCTGGGAAGACGTGGTGACGATTTACTACAAAAAGTATATGAAAGATTTAGTAATCCAAATAAACTTTGAAGCCTACATCTGTCACGTTCGGCAACGGAGGCGAGCAGGGAAGCAGGCGAATGGAGCCGGACTGACAGGCAAACGGGGTTTAATTGGGCAAAGTCGAGACATCCACGGACAATACGTAACAATACAATGACAAGTCTGGGGAAGACTGACTCAGACGAGGACTAAATACAAAAGACAAGCTAGACCTAACAGGACACAGGTGATCACACTCAGGGCTGAACACGAGGTAACGAGGTGAGCGTGGCACACATTAGGAGCGGACGGAGCGGGGCGTGACATAACCCCCCCCCAAAGGCGCGCACACCGGGCGCGCCCGAGAGGAGGCGACGGACGAGACGAGGGCAGGAAACAGGACCTGGAAGACAAAAAGCAAAACATCACCCAAAGGCGGGGAACAGAATGGAGACACAGAACAGGCCGAGGGACAAGAAGACAGACAAGACCCGACAGAGAACAGGGAACGCCGACAGGCAGACAAGGAAGGGGGACACAGAGGGAACACCCACAGGCGACACGAAGGGGCCAGGAGTGAACAGAGGAACCAGAGGGGGGCGAGGAACAGACACAGGCGGGACGAAGGGAGGAGGAGCAGACAGGGGAGACCAAACCGGAACGGAAGGGGGACAAAGGGGAGCCCGAGGGAGCCCAGGCGGGCGACGGGCAGCGGCCGGAGGGGCCGCAGGCGAGAGAGAGAAGGGAACAGAAGGGGATCACCCAGGGGCCAAGGGAACGGGATGAGGGAGTGACGGAGGGGACACGGAGGGAGCAGGAGGGAACACCAGTGCAGGCAGGCAGGAGGGGGAAGCCGCGGAGGCGCAGCCGGAGCCGGCGAAGGCACCGTCCAACGCTCAGCCAGAGCAGGGGGGCCCGGAGGCGGCCAACACAGAGCCGGAGGCGGGACTGAGGACCGTCACCGAGGATCCAGGGGGGAACCCGGCGGAGACCGCCGACCCCGAGGCGCAGGACCCGCAGGCAGCCACCGAGCCACAGCCAGGGGCCGAACGGGCGAACCAGGGGGCAGGGCGGGCGGGACCCGGGCCCGACGCCTGTGTTCCCTTCCCTTACGGGACACCGAAAGGCGGGGTCCTGTGGGGCGTTGGCCTTGTCAGGGCAAGGGCGAGGGAGTCAGGAGGGAGGTACCCGAGGGTGTAGGCTCGGGCAGAGCAAGCGGTGTGGCTGCAGGTGATGCAGCCGGAGCCACGGGCGGTGCAGCCGGAGCTGCGGGCGTGGCGGCCTCAGGCAGGGCCGCGGGCAGGACGGGAGAGGCGGCCTCAGGCAGGACCGCGGGCAGGACGGGAGAGGCGGCCTCAGGCAGGACCGCGGGCAGGACAGGCGAGACAGGCAGTTCAGGAGGGAGCGCCTCGGCAGGTACCTCTGGCGTGCGGCCAGCAGGGGGCGTTTTAAGCGTGCAGTCAGCAGGGGGTGCCTCGGCAGGTACCTCGGGCTTGCGACCAGCAGGGGCCGCCTTGGCAGGTACCGCCCTCACGTGGCCAACAGGGGGCGCCACGGGTAGAGCGACTTCCTGCGCTGCAGGCGGAGGAAAAGCCAGGCCCTCGGGCTGAGCTGCAGCGGGCACCCTCAGTTCCTGGCCAGCAGGGGGCGCCTCGGCGGGCGCCGCCATCACGCGGCCAGCAGGGGGCGCCGCAGCGGGCACCTCAGGCAGAGAGGTGTCCTCAGCTGCAGGCAGAGGTGAAGCCAGGACCTCGGTCAGAGCTGCAGCGGGCACCCTCAGTTCCTGGCCAGCAGGGGGCGCCGCCATCACGCAGCCAGCAGGGGGCGCCGCAGGGGGCGCAACCGCGGCCACCTCGGGCAGTTCGGCGTCAGCAGTAGCAGGCAGAGTGGTGGCAGCTGCAGGGACTGCAGGCGTTGCTGGCAGGTCCGGAACAGGCAGGTCCGGGCCGGGCGCCATGATGGGCGCCGGGCGAGAAGGCGCTGCCCCTTTAAGGGCTCTAGAGACCCGGGGAATCGCGTCTCTCACCGGGCTGATCCCTTTTCTGTGCAGGCGCTCCGGCCAGTATGGATAAGCCTCCAACGGAGGCGGCTTCTCTTGGTGGAAGCCGGCCAGGCGGGTAGCAGCGAAGTCCTCCCAGGGGAGCGGTGAGCCCTCGTGCTCCCTGGCCAACTCCCAGGCGGGGAGCAGAGAGCAGGCTCCCAGGAAGAGAGTCGGGGTCTCTTCCTGCAGCGTTTCAGCCTTCTCTCCGCGGGCGGCGGAAGGCGGAGCCATTGCGAATACATCGCCCAGGCTCTGGGCAACGCGTTCGTCTTTCCACTGGGTAAGACGCTCATGCAGGCGGCGTAGGCATTTGCGTACCCGCTTGAGTGGGTACTGCTGTCTGGGCGGGCGCTCCTCGGTGAGGAGGTCCGCGCCCCGGGTGGCCAGCTCCAGGGCCACAGGATCCTCCAGCACTTCGGGTTGGGAGCGCCAGTACACAGCCTCCTGCAGCAGACCGAGCCGCTGGTGCTCGGTCTGCCGCGCTGTGTTTTCATGGAGACTTGTCATTCTGTCACGTTCGGCAACGGAGGCGAGCAGGGAAGCAGGCGAATGGAGCCGGACTGACAGGCAAA